GTGGATAATGTCCTGGGTTCAGCAGTAGCAGTCATGTTTTTTTTCTTTGTGTTAGCTGGTGCAGTGCTGTGTTTTGACTTCTAGTTTTGAGAACAGCGTTGGTGAAGCCGATGTTTTCGGTTGTTGCTAAGTGATGTTTACCCTGACCAAGGACTCTGTGAGGCTCATGCTCTGCCAGGGAGGAGGGGAAGCTGTGAGGAAGCAGAGACGGGGCGCCTGACCCGGGCTAGCCGGGGAGGTATTCCATACCACAGCACGTCATGCCCGGGGTGGGGGGTAACTGGGAGTTACCCGGAAGGACAGGAGCTTCCGGGTGGAACTCGTTTTCTTGGCCGGTGGTATCGTATTCTCTTCCCTTGTTATTTTCCCTTATCATTGTTTTAGCTGATAGTAGCGGTGGTGATTTGTTGCTGGACTGTTCTTGTCTCAACCCGTAGGAGTTGCACTCTCTCGATCCTCCTCCCCGTTCCTCCGGGAGCGGGGAAGGGGAGAGCCCCGGTGCAGGGAGGGGGGGGGGGAGACGAACACGGACCTTGATTGTTGTCAGCTTGGCACCACTCACTGGGAGTGAGTGAACAAGTTACCTGACTGGGTTTAAACCACGACACTACCCCATAGCTGGTATGGGGAAAACATCAACACGTGGCTTTTTCTCCCTCCCTCAGCACCCCATGTCTTGAGATCAGTGATTTTATACTTAATGGGGTGAGCAGCAGCTGAGGCTGTGACAAGGGAAGGGGGTGCTGCCCGAGCCCATGTGCTGCAGAGAAGCCTTTGGGCTTGTGTGAGCCCTGCCAGAGCCATCCCCTGAGGTCCCAGCAGAGCCTTCAGATGCCTGAGGAGCAGTTAATGAGTAACTTCCCCTCTCCTCCATAGCAGGCACTCCCTCTGCAACAGGTCGCACTAGTTTCTGAATCACCCTGTGCTGAAGGATGCCAGACCAGGAGCCTTTGGATGCTGCTCTGTGAGGTTTGAGTCCCCAGCCAGGCAGGGCTGTGAGAAGCACCACAGAGGATGTAAGGACTCAAGACACAGGGTTTAGTTCACTGCTCGCTCCTCTGGAGGCTTTCACCTCGGGCTGCAGACACAAGGGCTGGCAACACGAGGTTACAAGTCAGTTAATCCACAATAGCTACTGCATGGTGGCACAGACACCCTTTAATCCAGCCTGGATGAGGTCCCAGCCTGACTAGAGTCCAGCAGATGACTGCACTAGGATGAGAAACTCCATTAATGGAATGGGAGTGGGAAACCAACCATCCAAAGAGCTTGGATGGTCACGCTGGGAGGAAAGTGCTTGGAAATAAGGAGGAACACTTGGAATGGCAATGCAAGACGTGCTTTTCTTCCCTTTGCTCATGTCCATTCAAAAGAAAGCTCCTAAGGTAACTGGAGGCTCACCAGCACAGCACTGCTGTTGGAAAGGGCAGGGAGAACAGCACCACTGTCCCACTGCTTCCAGCTGCACGGCAGCTTGACTGCAAAGGGAGAATACCTCTCGTCTTGGTGCATGGCTTAAAAATCACTTACTTCAGCAGTGGCCAAGGCAGCTCAGCTCAGCTTCCTATTGTGCAAGTGTGCCTATGATGGCTATACAAAGAGCAGGGAACGTGCAACAAAGCTGAAGTGTGCTTGCCCACATGTCCCTGTGCTCTGGAGCGGGCAGGAAGGAAACCAGCAGCTGGGAGATGGGGTGGTATAAAGGCACCCGCTTCCGCGCGCCAGGACTGCGCAGCTGAGGGTTGGGTAACGCAGGGGAGATGAACGAGAAGTTGCCCCAAACTCCACATTCTGCAGTTCCTTTCTGCCAGCTGCAGGGCAAAAGGAAGCTGACCTGATCCTTTATGCTTGAAACGTGGAAAGAGGGGCCTAATTCAACCTCTGAATTAACTACCTGAAGCCACGCTACATGGGGCTGTCACTCCTTGGAGGAAGTATTGGAGCATAGGAGAGTGCTGTAGGTACCTTTCCTTTGGAAGGGTTTAGTTGTTAGCACCCCTAGTTCAACTCGAGCAGAAGAAAGATGCTCCTCTAGATGAGATCAGGGCAAGAGAACTCAAATGACAATCACTGGGAACTCATCATGTTGTCTAAAACCACAGTGACAGCCCCAAACATCACTAGTCCTGCAGCCAGCCACCAGCATGGGGCCTCAGAGCGCTGCCACTGCCCGGAAGAAGCATTAAGAGACACCTCAAGGGGTTTATTATGGAGCTCTCTAAAGAGGATGGAAGCTTTCAGCCCTGTTGGAAGCTTGTAACAAAGTTCTGGAGGTAGCCGCCACTCGCAGCAGCACTGACACTGAATGAACAAAGGCAGTTATCATCTCTTAGATGTTAAGAGTAACAGAGAGAAGATCCAGAGATACTTCTCACAGGACCAAACCAGCTTATTTGACACCAAGCTTATTGACCATCACCAACAAAGCCCCCTTAGAAGGCAAAGATTCCCAGTTGTGTCAGGCTCTGCAGGGGATTTGTTGGGATAATGTTGTATGAAACACTAGCTTGGGATCCACGAGGAGAAAAGAGAACTCTGCTGCTCTGCCTCACCGATGGTCCTCAGCGTGACAAGGCTGGGAGCATGAAGACACACCCAGGCCTTCAGCAAGCTCTGGAGCACGTGGAAGGGGATGGCAGCACCTGCCAGTTCATGAGCTGGAGGGAAGAGACATGATCCAGAGGGATCTGGACAGGCTGGAGAGGTGGGACCATGGAGTTCAACAAGGCCAAGGGGAAGGTCATGCCACTGGGGCAGAGCAATCCCAGCACAAACAGAGCCTGGGGGAGACTGGAGGGAGCAGCCTGTAAAGGACTTGGGAGTGTTGCTTAAGGAGCAGCTCCCCATGACCTGACTTCAGTGTGCTCTTGAGCCCAGAACCCCCCTGTGGTGCTGGGCTGCACCCCCAGAGTGTGAGCAGCAGCTCAGGGAGGGGATCCTGCCCCTCTGCTGTGCTCTGGGGAGACCCCCCTGCAGCCCTGATCCAGCTCTGGGGCAGCAGCACAAGAGGGACGTGGAGCTGTTGGAGAGAGGCCAGAGGAGGCCATGGAGATGCTGCGAGGGCTGGAGCAGCTCTGCTCTGGAGCCAGGCTGAGAGAGCTGGGCTGGGGCAGCCTGGACAAGAGAAGGCTCCTGAAGGGGAGACCTCAGAGCAGCTCCAGTGCCTGAAGGGGCTGCAGGGAACCTGGAGAGGGGCTTGGGACAAGGGCCTGTAGGACAGGCCAAGGGGAATGGCTTTAACCTGCCAGGGGGGAGACTGAGATGAGCTCTTAGGCAGAAGCTCTTCCCTGTGAGGGTGCTGAGGCGCTGGCACAGGGTGCCCAGAGAAGCTGTGGCTGCCCCATCCCTGGCAGTGTTCAAGGCCAGGCTGGACACAGGGGCTTGGAGCAAGCTGCTCTAGTGGAAGGTGTCCCTGCCTGTGGCAGGGGTTGGAGCTGGATGAGCTTTAAGGGCCCTTCAACCCAAACCAGGCTGGGATTCTGTGACCAGGGAACGTCTTTCATTAAGGGACAACGATGAACACAACCTCCCATTCCCGAAAGGAGGATGTGAAACCTGCTACAAAGCCCATCCACAGAGAGCCATCAGACAACCACAGGGACTTCCATGGTGCTGCTTTCACTTGTCCTCATTAGAAACCAGGAGTTACCTGTTGCAATCACGTTCCCTGCTGGAGATTACGTCCAACCTCTTTTTGAACAGTGAGTAAAGCTCGAGCCCGGCCCTGCCTGCTTAGACACTGCAACAGCTTTCACATTCACTTCCTCAGTGCCAAAGCCATAAGTCCCTACACAAAAGCCACCCCACAGAAGGAATATTACAGGAACAGGGCCATCCGAAGGCTGTGCTAAAGCGAAGGAGAGGGAAAGAACTTTGTTTTCCTTCCTGCTCCCACTTGGATCCCTCAAACCCCTCAGCCCCATCACCAAACACTTCCTTTGCTCAGGAAATCGTCCCTTTTCCCCATTCCCACCCAGCTCCCTGCCGGAGAGCCAGCAGGTTAAACCCATGGAGGGCAATCCCGGGAAAGCAGCCCGAGGATTCCCAGCGGAAATCCCACCCTTTGCCCCCCGCCCCTATTTTCACGGCTGGAGGACACGTTTTGCCTCACGGGCCCGGTTCTAAGGGTTAGGGCTGAACCCCCAAAGCCCGGGGAGGTCGGGGGCAGCCTCCTCCAGCGGGGAGAACGGGAGGAAACGGGAGGAAACGGGAGGAAACGGGAGGAAACGGGAGGAAACGGGAGGAAACGGGAGGAAACGGGAGGAAACGGGAGGAAACGGGAGGAAACGCTGTCCCCGAGCCAGAGGCGGGCAGAGCCCGGTGACACCGCTCCCGGTGCACCGGGGCGGGGGGGGGGCGCGGCACAACCCAACGGCCCCGGAGGGTCCCGGTACCGGCCTCTGCACACCCACCCCCTAGTCCCGCCCCCGAGCCCTGATTGGCTGTAGCGGGGAGAAGCGGCGCTGCTATTGGTCAGAGGCGCCTCACTCAGTGCCACGTCCCGGTGGTGGTTGGTGGCGCCGGACAGGGGAGCGGCGCGCAGGGAGGGGAGGGAGGCCCGGGCCGGTGCCGCCGCACGCACCTGGAAGGGGTTGATGTCCACCGGGTCGGCGAACGGGTTCGTGTCGAAGCCCGACATGAGCGCGGTCCCGCTGCCCCGCTCCGCGCTCCCGCCGCCGCCGCCTCTGCTGCTGCTACACAGCCACTTCCGGGTCAGCCGGGGCGCGTGCGCCGCGCCGTCACGTGACCCGGCCCGCCCCGCCCACTCCCGCGGGTGGTGGCTCACGTGGAGCGGGGCTTCGTGACGTCACAGCGGCGGCCACCACCTATAGCGCGGGAAAAGGGGGGGGGGGGGGGCGTTAACCCTATAGGTGCTGCCGCGCTCTATAGGGGCACCTGTAGGGGGGCGACCTCCGCAGGGAGGTCACTAGCGGGCCCATAGCCCCCTGTACGATAACCCCTATAGAACACCCCCATGTCCTCCCGTGAGCCCCGCACAAGGCAGTGCCAGCCGCACGCCGCGCTCCCTATGGCCGCTATAGGGTGCGCGTAAGGCGCTGCCCAGCCCCTCCCAGCACGGCCGGGGGGAGGCGGAGCCGGAGCCGGAGCCGGAGCCGTCCCCGGAGCCGCCGCCGGGACTCCCGGCCTGCCCCAGCCATGGCGGAGATCCGCGGTGAGCGGGGCCGGGGGCACACGTGGGGACGGGACCATGGGGCGGGCAGGGGACCCCCGATGTACCCTCCCCCATCAATAGCCCCTGGTCCCCCTCGATCCCCGGGAGGGTGCTGGGGTCGTTTCTGCCCCCCCCCAACGCCCGGTGTCCCCCCGCAGTGTTCCCGCTGTCCTGCGCCGTGCAGAACTACTCCTGGGGGAAGCTGGGTCTGGCCAGCGAGGTGGCCAAGCTGCTGGCCAGCAGCGACCCCCTGGTCCAGATCCAGCCCGACCGGCCCTACGCCGAGGTGAGTGCCCGGCCCCATGGCCGGCCTGGGTAAGAAAGAGTCACTTCAACCCGTGTGGGCATTGCAACCAGCTGCGGTCCTCACCATCCCGGGTCCGGCCGGTTCGGGGAGGGATGTGGATGCCCTGTAGCCAGGGAGGGATGTGGATCCCCTATAGCCAGGGAGGGATGGGGATCCCCTATAGCCAGGGAGGGATGTGAATCCCCTATAGCCAGGGAGGGATGAGGATCTCTTATAGCCTGGGAGGGATGGGGATCCCTTATAGCCAGGGAGGGATGGGGATCCCTTATAGCCAGGGAGGGATGGGGATCCCTTATAGCCAGGGAGGGATGGGGATCCCTTATAGCCCAGGAGGGACAGGGATCCCCTATAGCCAGGGAGGGATGTGGACCCCCTATAGCCAGGGAGGGATGTAGATCTCCTATAGCCTGGAAGGGATGTGGATCCCCTATAACCCAGGAGGGATGTGGATCTCCTATAGCCTGGAAGGGATGTGGATCCCCTATAGCCTGGGAAGGAGAAGAGGAGAAGCCCGGCGTGACTCAGCCCCCAGGGGAGCTTTTGGCTGCATCCATTGCCAAGCAGCCTCCAGAAAAGCCCAAGTCATCCCTGCTGGCTGCCCGGCTCTGGTCCATCATCCATGTGCCCATCCGTCTGTGTGTGTCCCGCAGCTCTGGATGGGTACACACCCCCGTGGTGATGCCATCATCAGGGATAACCGCATCCCGCAGCGGACACTGGGGCAGTGGATCGCCGACAACCCTGCGTGCCTGGGGGCGAAGGTGAAGGACACCTTCCAGGGCCACCTCCCCTTCCTCTTCAAGGTGCTGTCCGTCAACACCGCCCTCTCCATCCAGGCGCACCCCAACAAGGTAGGGAGACCCTGGGTTGTGCTGGCAGCCCTTGCTGGTCCCTGTGGAGCTCACCCAGCCCCTTTGTCCCCTCTCCAGGAGCTGGCAGCGAAGCTGCATGCCCAGTTCCCGGAGCACTACCCTGATGCCAACCACAAGCCAGAGATGGCCATCGCTCTCACCCCCTTCGAGGGCTTGTGCGGCTTCCGGCCAGTGGCTGAGATCGTCTCCTTCCTCCAGAGTAAGGATGGGGATGCTGGTGGGATGAAGATGCCAGTGGGGCAGGATGGGGATGCTCGTGGTGTGGGATGGGGATGCTGGTGGGGTGGGTTGGGGATGCTGGTGTTATGGGGGTGCTGGTGGGGCAGGATGGGGATGCTGGTGGGATGGGGATGCTGGTGGGGTGGGATAGGATTGCCAGGCTTCAGGAATGACGCATGCTGTCCCCCTGTGAGGCGTCCCCGAGCTGCGGGCACTCATCGGGGAGGTGGCAGCGGAGCAGCTGGAGCGCAGCGGGAGCGATGACCCCCGTGGCGTGTCGGCCGCGCTCCGCGTCTGCTTCACCCGCCTCATGAAGAGCGAGAAGAAGCTCTTCGTGGACCAGCTCAACATGCTGGTGAAGAGGATCTCCCAGGAAGGTGGGTCCCTTCCTATGGGGCTTGGGGGGCTCTGTTCAAGGGGAAGGGATGGGGCACTTCAAAGCTCCATCCCCACTGTGGTGCCTGGTGCATTGCAGTGGCGGAAGGGAAGGACACATCGGGGAGCAACGGGGACCTGCTGCTGCGGCTGCACTCACAGTACCCCGGGGACATCGGCTGCTTCACCATTTACTTCCTCAACCTGGTGAGGCTGGAGCCGGGAGAGGCCATGTTCCTGGGAGCCAACGAGCCCCATGCCTACCTGCACGGAGGTGAGCACCGCGGTGGCCTTCCCCAGTGGCCTCCCCAGGGTGCCCAGGGGCTCCTGCACCTGTTGGGCCATGGAGGTGGGCTGAGGGTGCTGCTCCATCCCCGCAGACTGCGTGGAGTGCATGGCGTGCTCGGACAACACGGTGCGCGCCGGGCTCACCCCCAAGTTCATCGATGTCCTCACCCTGTGCGAGATGCTCAACTACACACCAGCACCCAGCAGCTCCAAGATCTTCCCAGCGGCACAGAGCCAGCTCGATCCCAACGTCTACCTCTATGACCCGCCTGTGCCAGACTTTGCCATCATGAGGATAGAGGTGAGCGGTGGTGGGGACACGGAGGTGGACACCCCGGCTTTATCCCATCTCGGCTGTGCTCTAGAAGCCGGTGCACCAGTGAGGAAGGAGGGATGCTTGGAAGTGCTTGGGTTCCCCCTGCCTAGAGCTCCATCACCTTCTGCAGCAGCTCTGGGCGGAGGACCGGGAGGAGGGTTTGGGTGTCCCTGTGTTCAATCCCTGGGCGGGAATGGGGAGGCTCAAGCCGCGGTGACCCTTTCCCTTGCAGATCCCGTCCTCCATCAAGCTGTACCTCGTCTCCGCCGTGGACTCGGCCAGCATCCTGCTGGTGATCCAAGGGGCAGCCGTGGGCACCTCCACAGCCGCGGCCTCCGAGATCCCCCTGTGCCGGGGCTCCGTCCTCTTCATCTCTGCCAACGAGAGCGTCTCGCTCCAGCTCTCCTCTCCCGATGGGATGCTGCTCTTCCGAGCCTGCTGCCTGCTCTGAGCCGGCCTGGGGCGCTTCCCCCCCCGGCCGCATTGGAGTAGATAGAAACTGACCTGGGCAAAGGCATCTCGCTTGGAAGTTTAACCTGTTAAACCCCCAGACCAGCCCCACCTGATGTAGAGAAAGAGCAGTTCCATGAATGAGCTCCTTGGACATGGTGTGGAGCAGAGAGGGCAGAGGAAGGGCATCTCCCCTCCTCACGAGCCATGTCCCCGTAGCATCGATCCCGCAGGGTGCTGCCAATGCCACAGTGACTCTGGTGGTTCTGTTTCCCCTCCTCATCCTTTGCTGAGCAGCAGCAGGGAGCCCGGAGCTCTGCACCCCAGCTCTTGAGCATCCCTGCCTGGCTTCTAGGAGCTGCTGCCACTGTGATGCTGAGGCCTCCTGCTGCTCCTGGTGGGCTCTTCCCAAGCCTGGTCGATGGCAGGGAGTCCTCTGAGCCGTGTCACCCCTTCCCCGGCTGTAAAAGGGGCTGCTTGGTGGGGTGACAGAGCTGGAGAGCCTCTGGTGCTGTGAATAAAGAGGTGACTTTGTCCTCGGTGCAGGGCAGCCTGGTGTGGGGAAGGAGGATGGGGAGAGCACTGCAGGGCTTGGGGACCAGGAGGCTGGGGTGGCCCTGGTACCCCCCTGGCATCGGCAGCTCCACAAGGAATGTGCCACCAGGGTGACAAGGGAAAAGCCATCAGTCTGGAACTGCACTGGGGTATGGGGAGGAGCCCTCCCCAGCAGGGCTGTGGGGGCTCAGCCCCCACCACAGCACCAACACATCCTCAGAGTAACAAGATGCAGTTTATTGAGTGCTCCCTTGAATGAATAGAATACAAAAAAAAAAACAAAAGCAACAGTTCAGGACCCTAGACATGAACTACTTAAATAAGGTTTCTAAGCAGCTGATTGTCCTCTATGGAGTAACAGGACCATGATTTAAGGCAGCTTTTAAGGTTCACAGCAAGTAGAGCCTGCAGCCCCCCCAAACCTGCACCCGAAAGGGGGGTCCAGGCTGCCCCTCGCCTCCATCAAAGCAGCTCTGGGGACAACTGGAACATGCCACCAGCTCCAAACCCAGAACTTAACAGGCCCTCGAGGGGCAGAAAGCAGACAGGGAGGTCCCAGCATGCACAGTGGCTGCAGGTGGATGTAGCAATGCGGACACCTAAAGCTCAATCCACTCCATTGGGGTCCCTCCATTGGAGCTGCCAGCTTTGGTTCAGCTCAGCCCAGGCGTTAGGAGGGAACCCAGCAGCGATCATCGACCCCACCATCATTAGAGCAGCACAACCCATGTGTGGGGCCAGGTCCTGCACCTCAGCAAGGCCAATTAAAGGAGGAAAACAGGAGGTCAGGCAAAGCAGGGAGCATTTGCTGCTGCACCTCCCAGTCCCTTTCACGCCCCCTTGGAGATGCCTGAGCCCCAACCAGGTGACTGGTCCCATCCAAACCACCTGAATGTCACTGTGCCACCTCTCCCTGCTATTGCTGAGCATGAGGAAAAGTCCTTTGGGGTGGGTTGGTTGCAGCTGCTCACCATGAGAGGCATCGCAGCATCATTTGGTCTTTGTGTCACTGTCCCAGCGTCGACACGGACAGCAACAGCCATCCCATGAACAAAGAAAGTGCTGGTTTGTGCCCTGTTCTTGCAGGGCCCTGGATGAGCAGCGTCTACTGGATCACACAGGAGAGGCTGTCTCCGAAACAACAGGGGCAAGAAGAGGAGGTGATGGGTTTTGGGGGGATGAGATCCAGATCCTCATCATCAGGGACCTCGTCGAGGTGGTACCCATCCTGCAGCAGCTGCCGGCTCAGGTCCTGGTTCACCTGCTGGGAGGGACACAGAGGAGATGCAGATTGGTCCTGCTTTAGTTCAAGTTTAGGGCTTGCAAAGGGAAGGGCTGTGAGCAAGAAGGGCATCGCCTCCTCCTCCAGTGCCTCTGCATGGGGTGCAGCACCCCAACACACATCCCTGCATGGAGCCTTGAGGTGGCTGGGAGTGAGGGAGCCCCATCAGTCAGAGCCCTGCACTTGCCTCAGCAGAGGAGTAGCCTGAGGAACATCTGGATCCTGGCTCCTCGTCACTAAGGGAAGAAGGAAACAGTCAGAGCCAGAAGGGAAGCAGCATCTTTGTGCGGGATGCAGAGAAGGGAATCTCGGGGGTGCAGTTCTGAGCCAGATCCCCAAATCCCGGGATATTCCCCCACTCCCACCTGTCCGAATCGAGGGAGAGCAGGTTCTCATCAGCCGTCTGGCTCAGCGCCGTGTAGCCCTTGTTAAACCTGACCGACCTGTGGGGAAGCAAAGAACCAGCCCGTGACAGGCATTTTGGTATGGGAATCCAGCCCGCGGACTGATGAGCCAGGGCAGGGATCCCGGTCCTGAACCTCCCTTCCCACCCTAAGCTAACCCCAGCTGAGCCCTAGGCCACCCTCATGGGGAGATCCTCACCCCCAAACCACCTCCAGAGCAAGGAGAAGGAGGAGCTAGAGCAATCCCTGTTATTACACCGGGTGCCTGCTGGCCACAACGGAGCCCGCAGGTCTCCCAAAGGAACATGGCAAAGCAGAAACGGGCTCAAACCTCTTTGGTGCTGGTTTCGGGTTTGGCGCGGGTGCCCCCAGCAGCCCCTGCCTCCGCAGCGCCGCCTTCGCCAGCTCCCGCTGCCGCTCTGCAACACAGGGCAGGGCTGACACAGCCCTGGGGGGGCCGGCCTGAGCCCGCCATGGGGCACACAGGGCTTTGGGAGGTGCAGGTCCTTGCCCGCATCCCGGGGCAGCACTTACTGAGCTTGGCGTGGAGGGAGGGGGCCTTGCTCACGATGTACGGTCCCTTCTTCTCCACCGTGTCCGCCGCCTTGCTCAGCCTCTGGTTTTCAGCCCACATCAGCTACAACACAGGGACAGACACGGGTTTAGTAGCATCTGTCTACGGGGATGAAGTAACCTGGAGGCATCCCAGAGCATCTGGTCATCCCTGGGAATCTCCAGCTCCCCAGCCCTGCACCATGCCCGGAGGAGAGGGAGGAAAAGGAATAAGCCGATCTATTAGGGGAGGAAGGGATTCTTCGGGAGCAGCAATGCTAAATTAAAAGCACACGCGGTGGGCAGCAGTTCCGTTGTAAGCCTCACTCCAGTAATACCCCGGAGAAGCAGGGATGGAGGGGATTTAATGAGCAGGTTCATCAACTAAAATACAGGGATCATTTGGTTTAATTCCTCCGCAGGTTTTGAGCCTTCCAAGCTTCCCCTTGTGCAGGAATTAGAGGGAGCAGTTAATGAAGCAACAAGGCAGAGGGCTTGGGGCACTGATGGGAGAGCACAGCCGGGATTAGCAGGGTCTGAAGCTGGAATTAGCAGGGCAGAGCCTTACCCGCAGGAATAACCCCGCGCACAGGGAGCTGCGGGATTAACCGCGATGGCAGCAAACCCCTGCCTGCACCTTGTGCTCCCCTGTGCTGCCCCATATCACCCATGCACATACCCTATACTTCCTCACACACATATCCCAGCCCTATACCCTCTTGTATGTGCCTTGTACCCTCCTGTATATGCCCTATACTGCCCCACACACATATCCTAGCCCTATAGTATCTATGCACATACCCTATGTTGCCACACACACATACCCCAGCCCTGTAACATCAATGCACATGCCCTATGCTGCCCCACACACACATCCCAGCCCTACAGTATCAATGCACATATGCTATGCTGCCCCACACACATATAGCCCTATAGTATCTATGCACATACCCTATGCTGCCCCCCACACATGCCCCAGCCCTACAGTATCAATGCACATGCCCTATGCTGCCCCACACACATACCCCAGCCCTACAGTATCAATGCACATATGCTATGCTGCCCCCCACACATACCCCAGCCCTACAGTATCAATGCACATACCCTACGCTGCCCCATACGTGTACCCTAGCCCTACACCCATGATGAACACACGCCATACTGCCCTATGCGTACACCCCAGCCCTGTACCACCTATGCCCATACCCGGTACTGCTCCCTGTACCCCAGCCCCACACCCCCATGCACACCCCCTACACCCCACAGCCCCCCACGTACCCCCGGGCCCCGCCGCCCGCCGGCTCTGCCCGCACCGGCACCGGCTCCTCCGCCGTCTGCCGCCATGGCCTCCCTTTCACCCCACCCCTTTCCCCCCGCCCGCCAATGGCAGAGGGCGGTGGCGATGAGACCCAGCCAATGGGAGGAGAGGAGGTGGTGCGCCCCCTCGGCCTGCCGCGCATGCGCAGAGAGCCGTCATGGGGCTGCAGACCGTGATGCGCTTCCCTGCCGGAGCTCCCGTTTTCCTGGAAAAGTCCCTTTTTCTGGTGGAAAAACCCCACAAAATTCCCTTTTCCCCCTTTTTTTGTCCCCCCCTCCCCCTCCGCCTGCACGGGAACCGCGGTAGGAAACGGGCTCTGCAAAGCAACATCCCCCGTGGAGCGATCCCCAGCCCTGCAGAGGGCACAGGGCTGCGAACGGGAGTCTCCCACCGCGCCAAGAGCTTCCCGCAGGGACACGGCTTCCCCAGGGGCAGGGGGCTCTGTGAGCCCTTGTTCTGCTCCTCCTCCATAAAGCCGGGGGTACAGCAGGGTCCCTGCGCCCTTCCCTTCCCCATGGAGGAAGGGCCGTGGGCACTGCAAGCAAACAAGGGTTTATTCACCCCTGGGAGGGTGTTTTGCCCTTTATTTCCTCCTTTTCCCCATGACCCCAGCCCCCAGAACAACCACAGGAGCCACTGCCACCGCGTCAGTCAAACCAGGTTTTCCTTTATTAGGTCCAACTCCGCCTCACGTACATTGTGACTCAATAAAGGAAGTTAGCTGAAGTTAAGAGGATTTTAACACTTGTGCCTGCAGGCGGCTGTGTACAATCAGGTGGCACCAGTGAAATGCTGGGGTAATGCACCTGCAATGGAAAAGAACACAAAAGGCATCAAAGCAGCAGCCCGGACCTCCACCATGTGTCACAGGGGGCTCATGTGAGCTCATCTAAGAGGCTGGGGAGCTAAATGTCTTCTATGGCTGTTCTCAAGTTTAGCAAGTACTCGGAAGCTCTAAAAAGACAGTAAAGTAAGTGGTTTCCCAGGACTCGAGGCTGTTCCATCAAGCACCACTCCTGAAATAAAGGGTATTCAGTGAAGCTCTGGCCATGCTCCAGCTGATCTGCTTATTCGGTAAGCAAGGAGTGCTCCAAAGTAGCGTTTAATTACAGAAAAGATGCTATTTTAAGTGTAATGTGAAGAAACTGATAGAATCATGAAATGATTTGGGTTGGAAGGGACCTTAAAGCTCATCCAGTTCCAACCCTGCCACAGGCAGGGACACCTTCCACTAGAGCAGCTTGCTCCAAGCCCCTGTGTCCAACCTGGCCTTGAACACTGCCAGGGATGGGGCAGCCACAGCTTCTCTGGGCACCCTGTGCCAGCGCCTCAGCACCCTCTCAGGGAAGAGCTTCTGCCTTAGATCTAACCTGAACTTCCCCTGTTTCAGTTTGAACCCATCACCCCTTGTCCTATTGCTACAG